TTTAAAGTGTACTTGAGTAAACCGTATTTTTAAAATTAAACGTATATAACGAAACGTATTTATAAAATTAAACGTATATATATAATACATAACAAAACGTATTTATAATAAAACATATTTATAATATAACATATTTCGAAAATATAATAACATATTTTTAATTTATTAATTACCAAAAAATAAAAAAATAAAATAAATTTTTTTTTCAAAGGACTGGCCGTAACCGGTTATGAGACCGGAACCGGGACCGGTTATCCTTAACCGGTTATATGAAAGCTTGACTGGTTATAGTGGTTTTCGTCGGAACCAGGACCGGAACCGGGACCGGTTATAGAGGGACCGGTTAACGCCGGATTTTGTCACGATTAGGCCCGGCCGTAACCGGTTAAGGCCCGGCCCGGGACCGATTTTTGGCCATCTCTATATCAACCTAAATAAATAATCTATAATTTTATTTCATTATGCATCTTAAAATAATATCTTCAATGGAAATAAAATAAGGTGCCAACTTTTTTCATTTTTGGTTAGCATTTCGTTCATTATGCATCTTATAATAATTTTTTGTTAGCATTTCGTAAAAGGCTCACTACAAAGTTTTGAAACTTCTCAGTTTTTCTATTTACGTCCTCCTTCCCTATTAGCTCACGCTCTTGCACAAACCGAAATCTTCATAAAAAGGTCCTTTTACTTCTCGAGGGTGCAGGAGAGATGCGCACACATCCCACAACTCAAACCGTATACTGGTTCTCGGTTTGGTTTTTATCGGAAAAAAATACTTGTTGAAGAGGATGAGGCGTGCAATAAATAGATCAAAAACATGATTATTGACAAAAGATTAGAAGTATTACTGCTCAGTAACCATGAAACAAAACCATAATCTCAGTACATGAAATGGGATCTCTGGGTAAAAAGGTGAAAACTAACTGACAAAAATAACACAGATGAAACATTGCAGAAAATAGATTTACCAGTAAACTAACTCTGGTCCAACACGGGTAACCTCCATTGCAACCTCTCTCAAGGGCTAACCACCACTATTCTTCCTGCAACTTGATCAAGATCTCTTCGTCCATTCGATGTAATCTTCCTCCCACTGGGGCACAAAATCAATAGTTTATCATTAAGAAGACTGCTCGTGAAAGTGGGGTTGTGGGGCTGAACTCATCATCAATTTACACCAAGAAAACAACTCTCCGTTCAACCTTTGGACATCAATCAAGGTGTGTTTTGTACACAGACCGGACTCAACAAGACTAATTTGACATGAGTAGCTTAGTAATTTACCAATCTTGTCTTGTCTCCCTGATTTTTGTTTGAGAAATATATTTTTGTCCCACCAAGTCATGTTTGGTCTCATAAAGCGAACCAAACATAGAACAACACGTCCCGCATACAAAACACACCCTAAACCTCTCACAGTACTTTTAATTTAATTGACACAGTGGAACTTAATTAAGCAGAGTACAATTTTCCCGAGTGTTTCAACTTTGGTTGATGAAAGAAGGCACAATAAAGCATGTGTTGAGAACACTCACCCCTTTGCGTCAAAGTCAACAATGTTCATGGTCTGCAGCTGCTGAAGAATGTGGCGAGCAACACCACCACTGCTCTTGCAGAAATGAGGTGGGGCACTACCGTTCCTCTTGCTCCCACCGTAGATTCTCTGGAAAGCACCAACACCGAGCCCTCCCCTCAAATAAATCTTCCTTGCCATGGATGCTAACATTTCAACACAGTTTTAAATAAACGATCAGCTGTGAGAAAATTAATTCTACATCAGCAAGCATGCAAGTTAAGAAATATAAAACACACTTACCAGCTCTGATGTAGTACCAATCAGGATCATATGGTGCAAGCTCCTTGAAAGTACCAGTCTTGACAATATCAGTCCAATGTGGAAGCTCCATCTGTCACAAATAGCAAAAAAAAATTGTGAGCATAAATTCTGAATAGGCGACTGTAATGTAGTAGACAACTAGACTAATGTTTTTAAACACTCTAGATTTAGAAGTCAGACTCAAATCCCAAAAATAAAACAAAACCTTGCACCTGGATTCTTGTAGCAATTTGTTGACACTTTTTGTCTCTAATCTATGCAGTCGATTAGATATAAAATATTTATGGCACCATGTATAAATTAAAACAGTTAGTCCCAAAATCACCTGAATAACAGCATTTTAACTATGTACATATCTAGATGTGTAGTTAGATAGATGAGCCTCCCTTTTGCTGATATCATATTCCTAAGGTATTTCTCACCAGAAATGTTCCAAGTAAATTCATTGAAGACAGTCAATTTAATGAACCCTAGAGAACAAGTTTACAAAAATCAGGTGGCTGCTTGCAGAACCAGGCCCCGACTAAACCACATGTACAAAAGATTTTCACCCCCTTCTCATTTGGCAGCATCACCTTACCAAAAGCTAGTTAAGAAAAAGAATGCATCTTGCCTATAGCTATACAAAGATAAAATTGAATGGGAATTGAACGCCAAGTTTTTTGTCTGATTAGGATCCACTGAAACTGTTGGCAACCCAAACCCAGGTAAGACAAACGGATGAGAGAAAACAAACCAACATCATCCAACATTACCATCAATTATTGAAACAAATATCAAATAGGCATGCTTATGATAGTTTGAAGTCAACTGAACCCAACAATATAATCATAACTAAGGACTGTAGTCCACTATAAATTCCAGAAAGACACTATTGGTGCACCAATCATCCATATACAAGGTACCACTCCAAAATTTTCCTCCAAGGCCATCATTGGGCTGTAATTTTACAACTCAACCGAGTCCTTGCTATAACACTGTTGCAAAGACGAACATTTTTCTGTAAATTACCAACAGCTACCACACTATATTTAAGCCAAAAGATTTAACGATTCAGACGGATTCTTCCCCCAACTAACATAAAGATCAGAATTGCCACATATGAAATTGAGAACATAAGGTGTTTTTGTTATACGCCCACATTTGTACATACCTCATCCACACTAAACTAATACTAGCAAATAAACCTAAATGCTCAAAACATCTAACGACCACTATCGTGTAACCACCTATGGTTGACATAAATATAAGAAACACGCATCCCGAAGATAGACTAATCAAAAACACGTAACGCAACATAAATTACGATAAATGAACAAATCCAGCGGCTAAAAGAGCAATTGCATATGAATTTAGGGCTGAAACAAACTCAAGATACTAATATCAATCAGAATAAAAGTCGTAAGTAGATCGTTCACCAAACGTATAAAAAGCCATGTCCATGAAACAACGCACAAGCAGCAAGGAAAAAACAATAAACAATAAATTGGTGATATGACAACACAAACATCAGATACGGTATAAGATCTTCGATCAATTAGATAGGAGAAGAAAGGAGATATAGACCTTGCCGGAGCGCTTGAGGTGAGCGGCGTACGCCTTGACAAACTCATGAGGTGAAACGTCTTTCACAGTTCTGGCCGTCTCCATTTTCAGGTTCCTACTGCTGCTGGTACGGCGGCCGAGATCTTTGGCGAGGGTTTTGTCTGTGTTTAGTGTGTGCGAGTGTAGAGAAGAGTTCCCATATCCATGTTAGGGTTTAATAGCTTGGTGAATGCAGGCTCTACAGAGCGTGTCAGCATTTGGGCTTCAAGGCCCATCATTTTACCAAAAGGACCAATAAGATGATTTTTTTTCTCCAAGAACTTTTCAATTTTCCTATTTTGATACCAATTTGACTCATAACCGAGTGTCAATAAAGTTTGGACCTTTGGGGATCCTCAAGTCATCGGTTCGAGTCCTATTGGTAGTTCGACCGTGGAATTTCGACAAGATCCTTATATCAGTTAATGGAGATACTCTATAATAAGAGGTAGAAATTCTTTAGTAGCGTATTCAATCAAACAGATCGCTTAGCCCCGTTCATCTTCCTACAAAATTACTGGGAATTTTTCTGACTTTCTCTGTAACCCTTAAATGTGTAGACCAAAGCCTCCCGCAACTTCTTTTGCAGTGTTAGTCGCTTGCGTCCTCTAGGCCAAACAACAGTCGCGGTTTGCTCGGGTGGCTACCCGCGGGACTCACTGTTTCAGCTGCTAACTTAATTTTTATTAGATTAGCGTAAGATCAACTATACCAAGGCTCAAGTATAGTATGAACACTATAGTAAAGGCACTTCAAGATCAAGACTCGACATGACAAAATCCAAATTAAACTATAGCGAAATTTAGGGTGTTACACAAAGTTACTCATACCTGACTGACTAGACAGTATATGAGATCTTTTTTATCCTTTCAGTATTATTTATTTTTAGAAAATGCGTACCATTTGATACAAGGTTTACAAGTTGATATGTATGATATTAAATGATCTTAATCATTCAAATCATGAACTTACTGAGTTTTAAAAGTTGACTATAGTATGCATCTCAAGGACAAAATGTTTCAGTTTGGACAAAGAAAATTGACATACATAGACTTTATCTGTCCATCTAAGTTCAATATTTATGTACAGACATCTGTGATGGATAAATTTTGTAATGCAACCTGAAATGGGACGTGTTAACATCTAAGTTACGTTTTTATTGATTTAAAGTTTTCAACTGTAAATAGTTTTAATTTAGCCATAATTTTGGAGTATTTTTTGAGGAATTGTTTTTTTATGGCATGACATTTCTCATAGTGAAATGAGGGTGTTACAACTTAACTGTCACATAGGTGACAACACTACAAAACATCAATGCCGTATTGCTCAATTACCGAAAAAAGCACTTGCTAACCCCATTCGTTATCATATCAAGATGACTCAAGCACATACGTGTAATAGTAAATTCATAATAACACTCACCAGGTGAAATTATGAATGTACCATACATCATGATCTTTGCTCCCCTCGTCATGATTCATGATGCTAGTATCTCTATCGACCTCAAAATATCATACCCTAAAGTTCCTAATCATACACTTTCACTTTCATTTGCTTCGAACTACCAGACCATGAATTAATACGAGGAACAAAGATAAATTATTACCTCAATTTTCTTGAAATTGAACGTGATTCCTTTTTGCCTAATTTATTCTTGTCATCCATTTCATTTTCCTTCTACCTGATTCTTCTCGAAAAATGAAAAGAAATGGCAATCTCCGTCATTTTGTTGCCTAATCCACGGCCATAAATCCCCCAATAATCCGTTGTAGCCGCTCTCAACTCAATGCTCCAAATTTGAACATAAACCCAAACTCCAATGTAGTCCACTAGTTTTAGTGCATTATCAATCGGCCCCTACTATTTCAAAATTGGAGGGTTTTTGTAACACCCCATAATCTATAAAAGATTCGATTAATTTAAAAATTTTATAATACATCAAATGAATGATAAATTCTTTTCTAATGAACAACATTTGAATTACCTAACATTTCATTAGGTATAGGATAAGGGCGTGAGTTACTAAAAAACACGATGTGTCCCAAAAAGCTAACTCCTTCATGAGTCTCTAACTATCACTCAACTCTTTTCAAGAATCATTAGTATCGTTTCATAAGGACCTGATGTACATGTCAACAATAAAAAAATTGTTAGGCTTAAGGCCTAGCGAGTTCCAACATTTTATATTGTCAATAAGAAAACGGTAAAACTGAACAGATGTTGACAATTTTCACAATTGAAAGAATGTCTATAGTTTAAAACGACATCTTTCCAAAATACACCATTCTCAAAATATCACATAACATCTTTCGATGATGAAGGAGTATCGTTTCCAGTGGATGTGGCGGAACACAAAGTAAGTCACGTATCAACATTGTCAAATTTCACCTCAAGGCCATCAAACGACCTTAGTGCTTACCCTCCAAGGTTTCAAGATGAGAAAATCAAAACTTCTCACCTATCATAATTAAAAGGGCCCAAGTTAAGAATATCAAAACTCCTCACTTGACCGAACCCAATGGCGTCAAGACGAGAAAATCAAAACTTGTCACTTGACATAATCAAAGGTTTCAAGACGAGAACTTCAAAAGTACTCACATGATTCAAACCAGCGATTTCAAGAAAAGAAAATCATGCACATGGATTCAAAGCAGTAGAATCACTAAATGACATGTATTCCAAGTAGTTACGCAGACATATGTATAAAATGTCTAAGTAGCAATGAGCAATCGAATGTTAGGCAAAACCCCAAGTATACAACACGTGCACTTTAATGTTCAAAAATAATTGTTCCACAATTAGAGTTGATCCAATTTCCTAAAGCTCAATGGACGAGCTCAATTGACCAAAATTCTCAACTTATAAAACCACTTCAATAAAAGTCCATACAAGTCAATTAAAGACGCGCTTTCCCAATGTTTTATCACTCATATGTACTAAAATAGAAATGCGCCAAATACATCGTCCAAAATCTGGATGAATCATCTCAAGATAACGTATGATTTGGTCTCTAAAATGTCCAAAGAACTAAATATCACACATTTTCCAATGCTTATGAAATTAAATGCACCGAAAGGTGTGATGGTCCCAATAATCGCCATAATTTATGAAAATCAACAAAACCATATTCATATAATTTATATCTCAAAAATGTCACACACACTCATTTATGAGCATTGGTTATCAAGGTCCAAAATGGTGTGGCGGCGAGATCAAGCCTCAAGTCTTACACGACACGATGAAAACGTGGTGTTTTTTAAGGTGTAACATAAAACGTTAAATTTGTATGTCACATATAGAATTATGTATACTACATGTTTTTTATATATTCTTTAATCAGATAATGATATTAAAAATCTACATTCATATTAGAAAAAGGAAAAATCATAGATATTATTATTATAAAAATATTTTTTGATTAAATATTCGAAATAGATTTTAGAAAAGTAATTTTAAAACTTTGTAATAATCGTGAGCACATGATGTTTATGAATTTGTGAAACTGTGAGTGATGTGACTAGATAAATCTATAAAAATGTAAGATCTAAAGTTAAAATTGTAAAAACACCAAAGCTAAAAAAATATATATATATTTTTTGGAATAAAGTCACATCTTGAAAAGGTGCACTGCGGCGCGCCTCAATACGTCATGGCGTGAGCCACGCCTTACAAAAATGTTGTGGATCTTTTCGTAATGGCGAAGACGTATATTGCGTCATAATCGCGCAATGGCATTTGAACACTGTTGATTATTCAAGTAAACAACAAACAATCCAAAGTTGAACAAATCTCAATCACGATATCTTAAATAGTTTTAAATCAACAAAGGACGACATCCATGGAATTTACCTCTTAAAAATCCAATTACTTCAACGTATGTATTTTCCAAACTTTTGTACCCATATATATATATATATATATATATATATATATATATATATATATACACATACATATGGATCGTGTGAGAATAAGAGTTAAGATGAGAAACGTAAGAGGAGATTTAGATCCTTGATCACTTTTAATCTCACCCCATCCCATAAAATGCGCTTCTCATGGTAATTGATCTGGTAATCTCATTAGTGTTGATCTTTAATTAGGATTGATTCAAGGGTGAGAATCCCTTCTTACTCTTCTCACCAGAACCCAACCCTATATGTATTTATATATAAATTGCCCAAAAAAGTCAATAAATCACCCATTAGTTATAGAAATCACACAAACTTTAGCTTGTAGTTCAAACTCATCAAACAACCACAAACCCAATGATTTGTAACTTAAGGGAGTCAAATAAATCAATTTTCCAAACATTTACCCAATACAAACCCGATGCTCAAATGGTTAACAAAACAACTCATTATGTATGTAAAACTCCACTAAAGCAAATAAACACAAAAAAAGATGCTTTTGACATGTACAACGTTTTCACAAAGTAACTTGATACTCACATTGCTATGTTAGGTTAAACCTAGTTTTCAAACCTATTTCTAGCTTCCAAGAATGAAGACTTGAGATCCACAAGCAAACATCTCTAGAAACCTTATCTACGTCTCAACCAAGCTTAGAAATAAACCAAACATGAATACATGTTTTAGATCCACAAAGATCCCTAAAATGGGGAACCAAACACCCAAAACTTACCTCACCAAGAATATGAAACCCTCCACCAAAAGATCTTTACTATCGTGCTAAAAAAGCTACTAGAATTGACCCTTAATGCACCCAAAATTGCCCCCAAACAAAGAAGGGATGAAGAGGATGAAAAATGAGCAAAAAACCTAGAAAAACCGGGTCTTAAAAATACCTAAAAGGCTTATGACGACCTTGTCCGCGACCTCAGGTTGTAGGCCCTGTTGCGTGTGTTTCTATTTTTGCTGCACGACGTTCCAACTGTTTTCTATTTTAATAGTAACAACAGAATTACAGGTGTTGTAGTGTTCGTGTTTCCTTGCTATACAGTACTATACCAACAGGGTGACAAAAACATGTCAAAAGAGTAAGAAGTATTTCCTCGTCGTTGAGAGAGTTTCATTGCACGAGAAAGTCTCTTATTTAATAAGCTCTAAAACCATCAATTTTAATCTCCCAAGTTCCGACTTTAAAAAGAAATATTTTCAAACGCATAAAAGATAGAAAAGATCAGTTACCTTTAAAATCCAATATTTAATTCTTTATGCTCGAAAATACTTAACTACCATCCTTTTAAAAGATAGTAATGATTGAATCATTTAAAAGAAATCTAACAACTTGTACTTTTAAAAATGTTAGACATTAATAATAAAATTATCAACCATAAGAGTGGTGCCTGATTGGTTTGAGTTTGTCTCCAAAGGTCAAAAGTACCAGGAGGTCTCAGGTTCAAATCAAGAAGGAATACAAATCCCCTTGTGGCCAGAGAGGTTCAAATGCGGTGACTCTGGGATATCTGTAAAGCAGGTGGTTATCCTGGGATTAGTTGGCTCGCATAACGGATTGGATATCCAGGTTAATAAAAAAAAAATTATCCAACAAAAATAGAAGTTATAGAAAGTCCATTATAAACATTTTTTTATAAAAGAGAAAATTGTTTTTTAAAATAAAACAATTTAAATATATATATATATATATATATATATATTATTTAAAAGATTTAAGAAAAATATCCAAACTGAAACATCATTCGCTTGTTTGTAATCATTAAAACAAAAATATTTATTAAATATTTCAAGACGAGACATATTTGCATCAACAATATCGAGTTTATATCGAGCATAATTGACGACATTGTAGTATTTTTGTCTGTCGGTACAAATGTTATGTTTAAATTCTTTTACAAGTATCTACCACAAATTGAACGTGTTTAAGAGAAAAAAATATCCAAATTTCAGTCCATATTTAAAATTAAACAGAAACATGCACAAATATATTATAACATATGATTTTAGGGGGTGTTTGGGATTGCTTATAAAAATAACTTATTGATTTATTTCGGTGTGATATCGATAACAAACACTTTTGAGTGTTTGGATAAACAACTTATACCGGTGCCAAACCGATAATAAAAAGTTTTTGAAGAAGTTAAATCATTCTAACTTATAATAAGTTGATAAACACTTTTGTATGAAAGTATAAGTTGTTTCAAATAAATAATCCCAAATACCCCGGTGGAAGGAAGGAAATGTATTTTGGAACATATTCTTGATATGATTAGACAAATGAGCATATTTTTGATATATTGGTGGTCGTAAAGCATAAAAGTCAAAATTCCCTTTGTATTATGAAGGTCGTGAAAACCATCGTCCCCTTGGCCTCTCCTCGTTCATATCGCCCTTCATTTAACACTACTCTCCTCTCCCTCTCTGATTCTACCGCCCCCAAATCCATACAAGAATCCCTTTACTTCTTATCCCCCATTATACTTCGTCTCCGTTCGCCCAATCTCTCTCTGTAAAATAGTTTGCAATCAGGGTATTCGTTCAGCAATGGCGTCCTTCACTGTCAATTGCCCCAAAACATCGCCTTTGTTTGCTTCTCACCCAAACCCTAAGCAGAATCCTAAGCATCGTAACAGCTCGGTTGTTTTGTTTCAATCGGATTTGAATGCCAACCGCGCATTGATCGCCGGATCCTCGTCTCTAGGATTGCAGGTATACGACATTCTGTTATAATATTCCCCTTTGTGTTGATAAATATTGAATTTACTTATGAAATGCATATTTTTATAGGAAAAGTTTGTACTTGATTCGTAAATTGTGTTAATTTGGAGGTTGAACTGATTACATTTTTAGTTTTGACTGTAGTCAGGCATACTTCAGTTTCAGACAATTTCGTGTTATTTATAGTAATGTTATCTATTACTGACACTGTGAGCGGTAAGAAGTTAGACAACCATTTACTGATATGCTAAATTCGAAGACTGGTTACTTAGATCTTTGTAGTTGTGGACATGTGGTTTATCCATCCCTGACAAAATCTTTTGAGGTGGCAACTCGATAATGTGGTTTCATTGAATTATTTTAGTGCACATTTTATGCTTCCTATTGTGTGGAGAGGTTTTCAAAGCAGCTTGATTGGTAGTATATGAAGGAATCTTGATGAGTTCATTTAATAATTTATTAATCTTATTATTCAGTTGGGAGCAAAATCACTTTATCATATAGTGTCTAGAGCAGTAAGGGCACCTCTTCTGTTCACCAGGAAGCACTTCTTGAAGTTGGGGCCAGTGCCGAGTGAAATCCCATAGCTGTAATGTGAGTGTCACCATCTAGCTATGCCGACAAAGCTCAAACCTTTTTTTAAAAATGTGAAAGAGTGGAATGTGGCCATTAGACCCTACTTATGTGGGATTTACTGGTTTTCGTTTGGTTTGGTATGAATTAGTAGTATGGGCCTTCAGTCGAATCGCCCTTTGGTTTGACCAGATCCTTCAATACAAAAAGATTTTGGACAAAATAGCCGGCTATGAAGCAGTAACAAGTAGCAGCTTTTAAATTACCTATTGTCTTCACAGTTCTTTTTTCGTTATGCAGAACTAAGTTATCGCATGAAGATAGTCTTACTTGAATGTTATTTTGTCAGAAATATGTGTAGTATGATAATAATTTTCACAGTTCTTTTAGCAAAGTTATATCTGTGTAGTATGATAATAATTTTCACAGTTCTTTTAGATAGTCTAATTTTCACAGTTCTTTTCTTTGACAAGATGTTTTGAATTGGGTGTCTCTGTCATCTTGTTTAGCAAAGTTATATCTTTTTAGGCTCTTTTCCTTTATGACCTTTAGTCTGACCTTTCGTTTTTGACACTTGATTGTGGAACTACCATTTGAACGGCATACATGGGAACTAAACGTGTGACAATACTTCCACGTGCTTTTACATTAGTCCTTAATGTCCTGCAAAGTTATATGTGGTGCCTCATTTGGCATGGAGGGCGTTCACAGTCATGGTATTTATTAATTGTTTAGAAATAAATCTTGGCATGCCTGCTCACATATGAGAGGATATAGAATCAAGATTAAGGAGGCTGCTTGTTCCATATTACATGCTGGACAAAATTTCTGAAAGTAGAAACTAACACACTGGAAGATGAATGTACTGCCTGATAAACTGTGATAGAAAGTCTTCTGTGTGCTTGTTCATGCAACATAGCAAATAACAGTTGCTGCTGTATGTAAAGTTGTCTTTGTATATTAAATCTTTTAGTAATGCTGTATGTTCCTAGTCAGCGTAGTCGCTGCAGAATTCTGTTGATGATAATTTCTGGGTTTTCACCATGTTCATTATATTACATTAGTTTTTTATTTGATCTACCCAATGTATTAAGAGATGTGCTCATCTAGGACTTCAGCGGATTTTTTAGTAGGTATTCTTTGCCTAACTTGGAAAAAGGAATGAAGAGAGAAGAAAAAAGTGTAAGCATTGCATTACAACAAGGGAGGGAAAAAAGGAGGTTTATGAACTCAACCATACAAGCTGTCACAATGGTTGCTGTAATCACCAGCCTGTATTTCACATAAGACCACTCGCAAACATAGTTATCTACAGTCATTAACTTCGTCCTTAATCTTAATTTCCACGTTAGGATTAAACTCAAATCGAGTTGAAATTTTTAATTTCGATGTTCTGCAATTCATTTGTTATACCATGCAGTCATCTAAGAGGAACCAGAATGACGTTATGAGAGTGTCTGCTCAGCTTAATGAGGTGAGTTACACAATATTATTTAGTGCATAACATAAATTATTTTCCTTAGTTTGTAATATATTTTTGTTGTCGACTTATCCTTTATCTAAGTTTCTTTTCTCTTAAGATTGCCCTTGAGAAATCATCAAATTCTGCACCAGCTTCAGACAAGTTGGAGGAATCAACCAAGATACCTCCTCCTGAGACCTCAGTTCCTGATGCTGCAGCAATCACTGCATTTATGAATCAGGTGGCAGGGCTTGTTCAGTAAGTCGATCCATTTCTTGTACTTGTTTCTGTTATCTGGAGAATTAATACCAAAGACTCCATATGAAAAATGATTGTTCAATTTTCTTTTTGGGACTTGGCAATTTATTTTTAGGAAATTTCATTTAACATGTAATTATCACATACCTATTTTGCCCTTCTCCGAGAAGCTGACAATTCCTTCTCAACTTATCACTTGACGTGCGTGGGTTCCTTCAAAACCATCATTTCAAATTTAGCCTTCTTGCATCTTTCCCTTACCCTTTAAAACTAACTGTATTACTACTGGAAGTTAGGAGCGTAGTAAATCCACCGCAAACCAATTGCCCTTCCAAGATGAGTGTGATGTCCATCCTTCCAATTATCTTTGTGCTGATGGATGCAATTACTATTTCTTATATCAGGCTTGTGGATTCAAGAGACATCATGGAGCTGGAGCTAAAGCAACAGAACTTTGAGGTCCTTATAAGAAAGAAGGAAGCTTTGCCTCTGCCTCCAGCTGCCCCTATGGTTATGATGCAATCTCAACCCCAGGCTATGTACCAACCGCAACCACCTCCACCACAGTTTGCTCCTGCTTCTTCAGGACCAGCACCTTCTGCATCCGCACCAGCAGCCTTACCTGCCCCTGCAAAGCCTAAGTCCTCTCATCCTCCACTGAAATGCCCAATGGCTGGAACGTTCTATCGGGCTCCTGCACCAGGAGCTCCTGCCTTTGTGAAGGTGACTTTTGGTTGTGTATTCTTCTGGTAGTCATAGGCCTGAGATATAATAATCAACTTAAAGATCAAGAGTCGTATATGAAACCTTTGTTATAGTTACAAATTCTTTCAATTATTACATTGTGACATACTAGGATGATATTTTCCCCTATGAATTTAATTCTTTGTTTTCTCTTGCTAAGTAGCTAGCTTCATGCAATTTCTTACTCCATTTTGACCATATATAAACTATTACCATCTTATATTGTCTTTGTTCTTGATTCTGAAGTGATGTGTATGAACTATTAATGAAATTTTTTAAATATATTTTTCCAGGTAGGAGATAAGGTCCAGAAAGGCCAGGTTATATGCATTATTGAGGCAATGAAGTTGATGAATGAGATTGAGGTAACCTGCACTTCCTTTTGTATTTTGAGTTACTAATGAGAACCTAAATCTAAATTGTGAGGTGTCTTGATAATCATTGGATTAACTGATCCAATGTAAGATTAAGAAAACCCACTTACATGAGTCTTTATAAGCATTCAAATACTAACTTCAAAATAGACGTGTAGATTTTATTGTTCTTATCATCAAAGCCACTAACATTCTTATTGAGCTAGGACTTGACCAATTTTCCTATAGCATTCACCTTTTGATGGGAAGACCATATGATGCATCTGTTTTTTGTTTTTATCAAACATGATTCATCAATCATAACAAGTAGTCTATAAGCTTATGGCTATTAAATATTACATGTTTTTCTCTTGTAATAGATTACAATCTTTGAACAAACAAGTTAGAAAATTTGTAATATAGTATCAACCTCACTTCACATGCATATTTATTTGTATTGAAGAATGCTTTGGTGCTTGATAACATTTTGTTGGCAAAAAAAGGTTTTGCACCCTCAGAATAAACCAAACCAAACGAGCCCATTATATCCCACCTAGAGTGGGGTATGCACACAAACCTGTCCTCTACCTCAAGAAGTAGAACGGTCTGTTCTGCACCCTCAAATATCTCTCACAATTTCACATTTTTCTCAAATCTTCTTGCCTTTTACCCATATCCTTTGGTATCGAGAAAGGAGATTGATGTTAAAGGAGCTTATATCTCTAGTCCTAACATGCAAATCTATGCATTACTCTACATATAATCTTTGTTTCACCTTCTTATATTGTGGAGAAGCGTGTAAACCGTACCATCATCTTTTATTTCTTTTCACGCACCTTGACTAATCCCTTGGGGCAGGCAGGAAAATTATCAGTTAAAAAGCAGCCAAAGTTAGCTAAAGTCTAAAAACTTGGCACACATTTTGATCCTTACACTATTTCTTTTATGTTGTTAGGCTGACCAATCTGGAACGGTAGTCGATATTCTTGCTGAGGATGGGAAACCTGTTAGCCTGGATACGGTATCTCTCTCTCTCTCTCTCTCTCTCTCTCTCTCTTTTATTCGTTTCTCTGGCAGACACCAAACACAATATATATCGTGTTGTTAATTAAACGAGAAACATTGTTGTTGGTTGCAGCCTCTACTTGTTATTGAACCATGATGAGGAAGATGATGATGAGTGCTACATACAAGACATATTGAGCTTTTTTAGACTTTTGTTTGTTATTTAGTTTCCTGTTTTGGATGACTGTAATTTGGTTTTCTTCTTCACCTTTTATAAAACTAATGCCTTTGATTGTCCTTGACTTCATTTGAGGTAATTTTTCGAAACAATCTGATTAATGATGTTATTGGCTTGTTATTTTTGTAAAGCTTTGCTTGAATTGGTTATGCTAAAAAGGCTTGAGCAAGTTGTGCATGTTTGTTAGCAGCTTAAGAACAATTGCAACTTATTCGGTAAGCTATGGATGATTGGTAGTGGTTAAATCATATAGAAAGTGGCCTATTTAGTAGGGCAACACTTTATGTAGAAAACAATTTTTTTCCAAACATGTCATCCTCAATTAAAAAACATGTTCTTTTCATGTATGAAAAATTCTTTCAAACAATTTTTTTTCGGTCTATATAGTTAGATTAATCTATACATAATTTTATTCATACATAACTTAATAAAAAACCAACCAAACAGTATGAGTCAAGTTGATTGCTTATTTCACTACTACGGGTTTAAGTATCTTGATGTCTTGTGCAATTTTTAGGCTGAAAGCCTCCCATGAAATTCTCTACAAAAATGCTCTCCCTCCACAATCACCATCAGGTACCGACCACCAACAAGCATCGTCACAACCACAAGTACCGTCGGTCATCACCACCTCCACCATAACCACTACCACTATCCACCACCAATACCTCCACCATATCGGTCACAACTACCTTCTCCACTACTATCGACCACCACGACGTCCTTTACAGCCACCATCACCCTTCACCACCACCACCACTAGTACCTTCAGCCACCATAACCACCACCACTAGTACCTTCAGCCACCATAACCACAACCACTGCCCTCCAGCACATCACTCACAACGACCTCCTCCACCACTATCGACCACCACCACCACCACCACCACCACTATCCACAATATCCATATCCTCCACAACCACCATTCTCCAATAATCACCAATGCCTTTACCTCCACAACCATTATTGTTGCAACAATTTTCACCGTGCCTTCGTTAATTGATAAAGATCTTCCGGACCAAATAAAACATAATCTCTTATGTATATATTGTTTTTTTTCAAATTGCCATCAATTATATCAAAAATTTCATTCAAATTTGATACTATTATATATGTATGTATTTATGTACAGAAAATCGGGTAAAAATGTTTATAAAATAAATTATTTAATTAATTATATATATATATATATATATATATATATATATATCATCAAGTAATTTTTGGGAGCAACTTGTCTAATTCTCTAATGTCTAGTTCTAGTCGTATCAAACATCATACACACACTTGTTTTGCCTTCCAGTCCTATCCAGACTTACCCTCTTATCCTATCTAATTATATCTTTATACCAAATACCCTAAAAGAAATCGCTACTATATATACACCTTCTTGGGTCTTTTAAATCTACGCATGCCTACAAGTCGTCATGGTTGGGTTCAAGATGTTCAATTTGTTCCATTTTGCAAGACTCTTTATACCACTTATGGGCCCCACTCAAGACCCCGAGTTTTAAAAGACTCTATGGATGTTTGATAAAATTCTAAATATTGAGGACTTATCATGCACCATGCCAAGACTACAAGGGTAGTTTATGTAACTTTTTGTACGTGAAAAGTGGCAACTACACAAAATGGATCTCTCTCGAACATCTCTGGTAGGTTCCAGAACACACACCCACACAGCGGGTTCATTCCAGATGTCTCTCGTTCCTCCCATTGCAAACACGTGTACTATAAAGCGTTTCATCACTCCCCTAATTCATCAGTACTTCAAAGATCTTTCCTCATAAATTCGCTATAGATATCTTCATAAAACCGCTCTGATACTTGCTAGTTACAAGGACGTTGAATCGTTTGTTTCCGATTGCTTTCTTTACGCCGTTGGATCATAATTCAAGGTAATAACACATCTCTTATCTCTTCTGTATGTGTTTTTGGTTTCGTTTTACTGGATTCTTACGGAAATTGCTTATTTTGATATAAGTTTTTCGGTTTATGTTATTTGATTCTTGATTTTCTTCGGTGATTGATCGCTGCGCCATCTTGATCACTTGGATCGTTTTTTGTCGTCTTCTTTTTGTTTTCGATCCCATTGATTTCGGTATTTTCGGGTTGTGTTCCATGAATCAGGAAACTTTAGGCTACTAAATTTGTGTAATAATGTTCTTTATATAAGATGGATTGATTTTATTGGCTTTACGTTTGTAGGTTTTTAGGTGGTATTACCAGACATGAATCCTGACAAATTCACCCACAAGACAAATGAAGCGTTGGCTTCAGGTCATGAACTCGCAATGGATGCTGGACATGCACAATTTACACCGCTACATATTGCTGCTGCTTTAATCTCCGACCGTAATGGCATATTCCGGCAAGCAATGAACAATGCCGGCGGTGAAGAGGCAGGTAATTCGGCCGAGAGGGTTTTCAATCAAGCATTGAAGAAACTCCCGTCGCAGTCCCCTGCTCCTGATGAAGTCCCAGCAAGTACTTCTCTAATCAAGACCATTCGTCGTGCCCAATCTTTACAAAAATCCCGCGGCGACACCCATTTGGCAGTGGATCAATTGATTTTGGGTCTTCTTGAAGATTCCCAAATCGGTGTTCTTTTGAAGGAAGCTGGAGTTGGTACATCACGGGTGAAAGGTGAGGTAGAAAAGCTTCGAGGTAAAGAGGGAAAGAAGGTTGAAAGTGCTTCCGGAGATACTAATTTTCAGGCTCTCAAAACCTACGGTCGTGATCTTGTGGAGCAAGCTGGGAAGCTTGATCCTGTAATTGGACGAGATGAGGAAATTAGAAGAGTGATTAGGATTCTATCGAGAAGGACCAAGAACAATCCTGTTCTTATTGGGGAACCTGGAGTGGGCAAAACAGCAGTTGTTGAAGGATTAGCTCAGAGGATTTTGAGAGGTGATGTTCCAAGTAACCTTGCTGAGGTTCGAGTTATTGCATTGGATATGGGGGCATTGATCGCCGGTGCTAAGTATAGAGGGGAGTTCGAGGAGAGGCTGAAAGCAGTTTTGAAAGAGGTTGAAGATGCTCAAGGGAAGGTGATATTATTCATAGATGAAATCCATCTTGTACTTGGGGCTGGTCGAACCGAGGGTTCGATGGATGCTGCTAATCTTTTCAAGCCTATGCTGGCTAGAGGTCAACTCCGGTGCATTGGTGCAACTACTTTGGAGGAATACCGAAAGTATGTGGAGAAAGACGCAGCCTTCGAGAGGCGATTTCAACAGGTTTTGGTGGCTGAACCTAGTGTTCCTGACACCGTAAGTATTCTTAGAGGATTAAAAGAGAGGTATGAAGGCCATCATGGTGTTCGAATTCTTGATCGTGCTCTTGTGGTTGCTGCTCAACTTTCGAGTCGATACATAACTGGTATGATTCATTTCATCTTTATACATGAGAGATAATCTTGTTAACGATGATACTTATTATGACTGAAATTTGCATGCAGCACGTTTCTTGCCCGATAAGGCTATTGATCTTGTGGATGAAGCATGCGCAAATGTTAGAGTACAACTTGATAGCCAACCCGAAGAAATCGATAACCTTGAGAGGAAGAGAATGCAGTTAGAGGTTGAACTTCATGCCTTGGAGAAGGAAAAAGACAAAGCAAGCAAAGCTCGGCTTGTTGAAGTGAGTTTTTTTAAGCATATAATTGTCTCTACTGGACTTAAAAGTACCTTGATTTCAGTATGATAATTGAGGAACTTACCCTTCTTTCAGGTGAAGAAAGAGCTTGATAATTTGAGGGATAAACTTCAGCCATTGATGATGAAATACAAAAAAGAAAAAGAAAGGATCGATGAAATCCGCAGGCTGAAACAGAAAAGGGAAGAGCTTTTGGTGGCACTCCAAGAAGCAGAAAGAAGATATGATTTGGCTAGAGCTGCAGACTTGAAATTTGGAGCAGTTCAAGAAGTGGAGACTGCTATAGCAAGGCTTGAAGGTACTACGGATGAGAATGTTATGCTGACGGAGACGGTGGGACCTGATCAGATTGCCGAGGTGGTGAGTCGATGGACCGGCATACCGGTTACCAGGCTCGGGACCAACGAGAAGGAGAGGCTTATTGGGCTAGCCGATAGGTTGCATGTGCGGGTTGTAGGCCAAGATCAGGCAGTTGGTGCTGTGTCTGAGGCAGTGCTGAGGTCTCGAGCTGGTTTGGGGAGAGCTCAGCAGCCAACTGGCTCGTTCCTCTTCTTGGGCCCCACGGGTGTTGGGAAGACAGAGCTTGCCAAGGCTCTTGCTGAGCAGCTATTTGATGATGAAAAGCTTATGATCAGAATCGATATGTCCGAGTATATGGAGCAGCATTCGGTGGCCCGCTTAATCGGTGCTCCACCGGGGTAAGTACACCTATTAGCTCGCTGTCGTTGTTTTCCTCGTTCTATGAACATTGATTAAAGTCTGTCTATTGAATTTTCAGGTATGTCGGTCATGAAGAAGGTGGTCAGCTCACTGAAGCTGTGAGGAGAAGACCTTACAGTGTTGTATTGTTCGATGAAGTAGAGAAAGCTCATCAATCGGTATTCAATACGCTGCTTCAAATGTTGGATGATGGAAGGTTGACCGACGGCCAAGGTCGTACCGTTGACTTCACAAACACTGTCATTATTATGACCTCCAATCTCGGGGCGGAATATCTGTTAAAGGGGTTATCTGGGAAGACGACAATGGACAGTGCTCGTGAAATGGTGATGCAAGAGGTAAGCCTGGGCTCTTGACATAAATTGCTAAAAGATTCAGTTGGAATGATCTTTTGGTTCGTGAACTAACAAGTCAAGTTTGGTGACAGGTGAGGCGGCATTTCAAACCAGAGTTGCTAAACAGGCTGGATGAGATTGTGGTTTTCGATCCCCTTTCTCATGAGCAGTTGAGAAAAGTTGCTAGACTTCAGTTGAAAGATGTGGCCATCCGCCTTGCAGAAAGGGGTGTTGCTTTGGGGGTTACAGAAGCAGCATTAGATGTTATACTTAACGAGAGTTATGATCCGGTAAGCATCAGAAACGAAGCCATCTAGTGTGATGATTTCAATTTATTATGTTCTCACTTGTTGAATCATGGTTTGGTGTATGATTTCAATTCATTATGTTCTCACTTGTTGAATCATGGTTAGGTGTATGGAGCGAGGCCAATTCGGAGATGGTTGGAGAGGAGGGTGGTGACGGAGCTATCAAAGATGTTGATCAGAGAAGAAATCGACGAGAACTCAACTGTGTACATAGATGCGGGCGCGAATGGGGAAGAACTGAGTTACAGGACGGAGAAGAATGGTGGAGTGGTGAATGCTGCAACAGGGCAGAAGTCTGATATTCTTATACAAGTGCCGGCAAATGGGGAAGCTCGCAGTGATGCTGCACAAGCTGTCAAGAGGATGAAGATTGAGGAGGTAGATGATGATGATGAGATGGATGAATGAATAAGGAAGATATTCACATATAAATGAAATGTAAATACATGAGAGTTTTGAGATGCAAGCTGAAGGTTTGACTAGTTGTGTGTTGGTTCAAGGACTTGTTCAACATTGGTTGGTGTAATGAATTCAAGTCTACAATAAACCCCTTAGCCATTTATGTATTTCTGTCTTTTATTTTGTTGGGATTTTTATCAAGTGTTTGATAATCTTAGATTTGGTGCAGGACGGTTAATAGTGTTTTATGATATAGTATAAAATGAAATATAATCGTATGATAATTGTTTACAGTGAAATTAGGGTGATGAAAAGATTTTGACATACAAACTTCTTTTGTCGAATAAGATTATCTTTTAAATACTCAGAGATTGGTTTTTTATATAATTATCAAGTGATTATGTAATTATTAAGAGGTAAATAAATAACCTATTTTGAGATTACATATTGTTGATCACTTTTAATTTCAAGCACCTTTGAACCTTATAAATTATGCCCATCATAAAATTAATCTGATGCGTCTCATCGATATTCATAGGTTACTGCCATAACTTCCATTTTCATATGAAATCAATCCATATATAAATAGAAAGAAAGAATTAGGGGTGATTCATGAACTTGTAATCTGTATCATCCAGAGACAACGACCTCGTCGGTCATTCCTTTGTGTGCTAACTACGAAGCTCTGCAATTTCAACACCGACACAGATTAGGGTTTCGATCGATCCAAACGCACATACAAATTAGGTTTTCATCGTTGTCTATGCCTTCAATTGGCAAGTTCTTGTTTTTCTAGCATGACCAGAAATGGTGAACGATCAAGACCATAATTACCATCCAGTTCAAGGTATTCCCGACATAACCAATATCCATCCTCAACACAAAATATCATTATCATCATCGTCGTTCATTCAAAACAAATGCCATGGGTTATGGTACACTGCAACTCTGTCTATCCCGGCGCTATTGTTTGTACTATATTTAGGGTTTCATCTCAAGAAGAACATCAAGAAGCTTAGTCATCGTCGGTCACATGTTATGATCGCTTATTATATCCTCCTCTGGTTCTCCGCTGTCCTCAATCTTGCTTGGTGCTCTCTTCAGGTAACATTTCATTCCTTTTTGGCGATGTCTATAATGGCGATGATGTTATTCATAAATATTTCCATCAGCAACGGTATTGTACTTCAATTTATTTAGTTAGTCCAAGGAGCATGGGGTTTATGGGAGTTGAACCGGAACCTGGACCTCTCACTTTGTGAAGAGTATCGACTCCCATTAGTCACAAATTTTCTGATTGCCAGTTTAGTTTAACTAAGTAGAGTGAGTTTTACTGAAATATTTGTCATGCATAAGGGTTAGAGTGGTCTAGATTTGGGAACGAGGTAAACAAAGTAAATTATTTGCTGATCTGTGTCCTGTGTGAGGAGGAATTGAGGATAATAGAGACAACAAAATAACTACTTGGTTTGGATAGGTATTGACCTGAACATGCTATTGTCATCTATGCTGTTAATTGCGCTGCAATTTAGCGGGCCTTCGCAAAATATCGGTGGTCAAATTGCGGTAGCGCAATTTACCGCAATTTTGACCGATATTTAGTGTAAATTTCGTTCGATATTAACGCAATTTTTGGTGGGTTTGGGCTTTATTTTCAGTCTTGGGCTTTCGATACTAGCTTCTGTTAAGTTAGCGAAGGCTTTGTTTGGGCTTTTAAGAACTAGGCTTCTGTTAAGGGAGCGCTATAGGGATGATGATGATGATGATCACGTTGGAGATGAAGGGGGAGAAGGGGAAGAGTGGGAAGCTAGCAAGCTAGCCTAAACGAAGAAGTAAACGTATTAGATGATGTTGACTCAGATGTTGAACCTATTGCTTGTGATTAGCTTGTTTACGAACACTTTTCCTATTTTGCAAATGATATGTTTATGTAGGCATATTATATATATAATTATGTATAATTCTAAGAAGTATTATATGAACCGCTATTTTTGGACTGCTATACCACCGCTATAACCACTATTTCAAGTATCGGTCCGACCGCATATTTTCACCGCTATAACAGCATAGTGTGTCATACCATGCTGCTTTGGAATGCTTCTGAAACAGATTGATTTGTGAACTGTCCAATATTAGATAGATATTCTAGGAGTTGACATATAGTAGCCTGCAGTTTAGTCTACTTACAGCATGATGTCTTGTGGATGGGAATCTGTTCTTGTGTCGAGCAACTTAAAAAAGATGTCTTCAAATATTTGTCACAATCAGTCGGAACTCTGTCTTGTCACAGTCAGTCGGAACTCTGTCTTGTCACAATCAGTCGGAACTCTGTCTTGTCACAATCAGTCGGAACTCTGTCTTGTCACAATCAGTCGGAACTCTGTCTTGTCACAGATGTGAAACAACCCTTTTTATTAGCAAGGGACCGCTCATATTGATCCATTTTACTGTAGCATAGCTTTACATAAATAAAATGATGTTTTAAGCCTCAAATATATATTTGCACAAGCATATTCTTGTTGCATTCAGTTGGGTTGGTAGTAGTAATTGTATATGTGGACTCTAGACTTGGAAACACATGGGATATGTTATTTGTTGGATGGAGTTTACGGCATGATAAGTAATTCAGGTTGAGGGGTATATTCTGTAATGGATTATTATACTCAGCGGGGCACAAATTAACTGGTCAGTTATACATGATCGTCTCCTAGTGATGCTCTGAATTGACTCTGACTTCAATACATTTTTCTCTACGGAGTTTACTAATATTTCTGCATGTTATCTTGATTAATGGATGCTGACCTGTGTTAGAATTTCACTTTATAAGCTAAACTTGTTCCACAATAAGTTTCCTCTTTGTGTAAATGGTCATTATCAATCACTGCTACTATTAACTGATATTGAAACTAGAATCATTGCTAAAATAACTTTAACATTATCTCCAAAAAGAATTATCTTGATCTCATTTCCTTCAAATATTCAGAAGGGTTGTTGGTCATCTTTTTAATGTTTTATATCTTTTTATTTGCTTAACATATATTCAACTTGTATGGTTGTGTCCATGATTAAGATGTGTGTTTCCTTCGGCACATCGAATTTTTGTTGAATCCTTGTAAAACGCTTGTGAGGATTTTTCTATGCATCAGATGATTTCTTCTTTAATCAATCATCCATTATCGAATAGAGGGAGTATCTACCAATGGAGGGCAATGCAAATGTCATTGTAATGTCGACCTTGTGCAACTTTGACCGATTTGTATAGCTTGAATTTATAAAACAACCCCATTATTCCACCTGAAGGTACGGTCTCGGGGGAAAGGGAGGATGTATACATAGGTTACCTCATTGGGCACTGGTGTAAGTAAAACAAATAGCTAGCACATCTGAAAGCCATGGTTTAGGGGAAAAGGTTTTTCTAGAGACAAGATTACAAAGAAATGTGAAGGTCTTACCTAACTAAAAAGCACACCAAAGAAACCACCTGTCCGGCTATCTCTATCTGTAAATACCGCAAATATATATGGAAAAAGGCTCTAACCCCCCCCCCCCCCCCCCCAAAAAAAAAAGAAAAAAAAGAACCAACCTCAACCTTCCCTCCCCAACCTTGTATTTATGAACCAGTGAATACAAATGTAGTAGTGCGGCTATGCCTTGTCAGTTGCTATATTCTTTTCATGATTATTGTTGAATGCTTTTAACTTAGATGCAATGCAATAATCTATTTTAGGTTTTCGGGAGTGGGATTAACTATTAGATTGTGTTGATGCAGGTATGGCAGTGCATGCCTGGGAAGAAGGTTTCTTGGAATATGTTGTCATTGCTCACAGCCTTGGGAACACTATGTTTAGAGATTAGCTTGGTGGCCTTCTTACTCCAAGAAAGTTATGCAAGTGGGTTGGAAGCATTAGCTCATACATTCATGATTTCAGGGCTTATTGTTGGAGCAGATATAATTCTCAAGGTATACTACTTGTGTACTGCCTCTTCTAGACATTTACCTTCAGAGTTTTTGCTCCTACCTGTCTGCATTCAAATTTGAGTTCCAAATAACCCTCAAAGCATAATATGTGCAATCATTTGACATATTTGATGATTTCCATTTCCTTGTTTACATATTCTATGTTGATTGAGAAAGATGCGGTTCATTCTTATAGAAAAAGATGCATGCCTCATGCACAGAGATGCCCCGACAAAAATTTCAAGTGGAAGCACAAAATAGTTAGCATAATTTAAAATAGGAAATATTAATTCTAAAAAATATTGTTCCATTAAAAATGACATACAATGTTTTTTGCAACATCTAAGTAGATATTTTTTTTCTTCTATCTTTTCTGCTGCTATTACCAAAAAAGAAAGAGGCAAAGGGATTTGAACTTGCAACCTATAATATCACATGTAATGATACTACCATTAGGCTGCAACCACTTTCTCTTAACTTGAGGGTTCTCACATCAATTTAAAGCGGGTGCACCTATAAGGTCCCTGAAAAATCCATTATGTCGGGATGGTAGGGCGGGTGCGCGTGCACTCCGGGCCTTCTTAGTAGGTCCGTCCCTTCTCATGCGTCTAAACAAGATATAAATCATTAATATTATTTGAAGAAACTTCGCTTGATTTTCAGTTGAGATTTACTCAACAAGAAATGAAAATTCACGAGTAGAAAATCCTAATTTGTATTCAACGGCCTCACATTAAAGAGGTTGAGAGACCCTCCTCACAATTCAGTTTGTTACAAGCATGCCCCAATCGATTTTCCCCGACAACACTTATACAGACTTCCTTCCTAAAAGACTCCACTATTTCCTTCTCTTATGAATGACTGAAATACCCCTAACATCTATTCATTATGGAATACGTAAATCGTGTCGTAGGTCTAACATTACCGGTCTGCCGAAGATTCACCTTGTCTTCAAGGTGAAGATCCGGAAATTGGCGATTAATTGCTGTGAGATCTTCCCAAATGGCTTCACATAGGGGTAAATTCACCAAATGGTTAAAACTTCAAACTCTCCCGTGATTTAGTCCTGCATTGCAGCAACTCAGCTGGTTCAACCTCCAACACTCGATCTTCATTTAGCTGTGGTGGTATACTTGGTGTTGAAAAATATTGGCCGATGGCCTTCCGTGACTGAGATATGTGAAAAACCGGGTGTATGCAGGTGTCATTTGGCAGTTTAAGTTTGTAGGCCTCCTTCCCAAACTTCTCGAGCACTTCAAACTGCTCGTAATAACGAGCTGCCAATTTTTGATTTGAACCCGACCATGGAGACTTCTGTCTATGTGGCCGTAATTTGAGGTACACAAAATCTCCCACCTCAAGGGCCTCCAGCTGGTGTTTATCGGCTTGGCTCTTCATCCGTTGTTGAGCTCGCATCAATTCTAGCCGAATATCGTCTAATAGGGCGTCCCATCCTAACAACATTTTCTCCACAACATGTACCGTAGCTGTACCTTCCTTATACTTGAGAAGAGACAGAAGTTCCCTACCATATAGTGCCTTAAACGGTGAACATTGCAGAGCCCGTGAAAAGTCGTGCTATACCAATACTCCGCCCAATGCAGTCATTTTTTTCACTTCGATGGTTGCATGGACAACCAAACAGCGGAGGTACTGTTCCACACACCTATTAACTCGCTTCAATTGGCCATCGGTTTGAGGGTGATAAGCTGTCGAGAAATTTAATTTTGTTCCTTGCAAACGAAATATTTCTTTTCCAAAATTGCTCAAAAAGACCTTGTCTCGACCAGACACGATCACTTGAGGTACACAATGTAATCGATTTAATTCTTTGGTGAATACTATTGGCACTCCTTGTGTAACACCCCCAAATCCATACATTGCATATAACACATATTTCATATATAAAATACATGTTTTTCCCCACATAGGTCCTTGATACAAGAGTTTATAATATAAAATACGCAACCCAAAAATTCCAAAAGTACAAGTTCTTGCATCCTAGCATCTATGCTTCCAAAACAGCTAAGCATATAGGGAAGTAATTCACATAATACTCTTTCCCTTATTATCATTACTTGCACACATATTTTGAAAACACGAAATGWGGGTTAGACATGAATGTCTAGTGAGGTTCCCTTTTATGTAATGCAGGGTGAAGATCACCAAAACATTTATCAAATAATCATTTCACAACATGCGGAATAAAATCAGATTCTGTTTTGGTCCATCGAGCCTCTGGTTCCAAACCACACTTGGAATATATATTTCAATAACCAAGACCAGAGCCCCTCTGGTCTCTTTTCCAGAACCTCTGGTTCCTTGACCAGAGCCCCTTTGGTTGCACTAACCAGAACTTTTGACTCATATAATTCTTAAAATGGTCTTTAGTTAAACTTTCAATCAATAAGATAGTCTTTTTCATAAAAAGAGTAATTACGAAGAGTTCATGTTCGACCAGAGCCTCTGGTTGAACTAACCAGAGCTTCTGGTTCCAAAAGACATGATCAACCAGAGCCCCTCTGGTTCAACGTGTAAGTCAACCAGAGCTTCTCTGGTCTGTTTTTCATAAAAAGATTCCAAGTATAAAACTCTTTCTTAAAACTTCTAAAATATGATTTTGACATAGAAGCTCTTATCAATAGATACAGAGCCTCTGGTCTAATTAGTACATTTAGTAAAAACTTGCTCATTCTCCAAATGAATAACCAGAATCCTTTGGTCCAATAATGAGGACCAACCAGAGCCCCTCTGGTTCCTTACAAGGAACAATCAGAGTCCCTCTGATTCCTCATAAAAATGACCATTTTGTTCCAAAACACTCTTAACCAATATCAATGGCCATAGGCCCAGTTTTCCCCTTCTCAATAACATCAATACTATTATTTTTAATAAGAACAATATCTTTGAGTTCTCAAATCACAAAGAAGTAAGGACTCAAATCTATTGTAGTCTTAAAAGACATAATAGTAAGAGCTATAATATTCACACACAATTGCCACCCTTATATCCAAAGGTACACCTCTCCTTGATATGCCACCCTTATTCCAAAAGACACCTCTCCTTGATATGCCACCCTTATTTCCAAAAGACACCTCTCCTTGATATGCCACCCGTATTTCTTCTTCAAAATCTATGAATTAGTTCGGATGAAGGACCGCAGTCACAACCATCTTATCAAATCCTCATTCATAGTTTTATCCATAAAATCTATAGATTAATTCCAAATGAAGACAGATCAAAATCACCATCGTCGTAAAAGAATATTCTCTATAGTTTTCAACCAACARTTTTGTCATTAAAATCTTTCAAACTCAAGAACAATCTATTCTTTCAACGATTTCCAAAAACATCATATCCCTTTTTAAATCCTCAAAACAGGATATCCTTTCCACAACTGTTTTAAAGAAGCAATCTCTTTTTTATCTTTTCCAAAACAGTTTTTAATACTTAAACATATAACAATAACACCTTTAAACTATCAAAATAGTTTTTACCATTTTTTCTTCACAATCAATATCAAAACCCAGCARTTTATATAACCAAATATATAAAGGTTTATAGTCATCAAAAACTCATAGTTTAAAATCAATGGTAGTTAAAAAATAACTCACCTTAACAGTCGCAGGTTTTGTAGTTTTTAAAACACACAGCAAATCACAAGCTCTTCAAACAGCTTTGAACAAAAAGATTTGTTCAAGAACACCTCTCACCGCCACAACACTCTTTTTCTCTTTCAACAGATTTTTTTCTTCAAAATGAAATGATAAGATAGAATCTTATCTTTTTATTTCTTTAAATACTCTCACCATGGCGGTGAAGATTATTAAAAACTCATAGGCGGTGAAAGTTTTAACCAATAGAGATAATCTTGGATGGTGGGTTTTTTTATTATTAAATTCATGATTTCTTAACCATGAAGATATAAGTTTTTAAATAATATAATAATGTTTTCACCCGAATAACTTATCTCAATTGTGCACCACCTTATGTATGGTTCACACCACACGCATACATGTATAAATCATATATGTCATGCCATCTTTTCACATATATGCATGCACAATATCATGTTCACATATATAGTTCATGCATTTCTACTTAGATATGCATATTTCACGTAATCCACATAATAAACATGTATAAATTACCTCAACCCAGGTTGTCTAAAACCTGGTTATAACACCTTGAGCGGTAAACGGGTGTTTGAGCACTAAGAAATGAGCAAACTTGCTTAATTGGTCCACTACTACCATGATGGTATCCATGCTTTCTGATTTAGGAAGACCTTCCACGAAATCCGTTTTCACCTCCTCCCAAACTTGTAAAGGCAAGGATAATGGTTATAGTAACCCCACTGGAGACCCTCTCAACGCTTTGTTGTGCTGACAGATTTCACAGCCTTTGACATATTCCTTAATATCCTTCTTTATTCCTCCCCAAAACAATTCTGCCGCTATTCGTTGATACGTTCTTTCCGCCCCCGAATGCCCACCCACGTGAAACTCTTCTAGTAATAGGTTGACGAGCGATGAAGTACGAGGCAACACCAATCGCACTTTATACCACAACAAGTCATTCCTTAACTCAAATCCTTTATGAGTTCCATAACCTTGTGATATCTCCTGTTTAATTATGCCTAACACCGTATCGATAACTACTCTTTTTACTACATCCCACTGTCTCCACTGAGGACCAACCATCATTACAGTTTCCACCTCTCATCTAGACGATGCTTCCGCAGCCAACTACTCTTGCCCAACTTGTACCACAACAATTTAATCAGCCACTTCTGGTAATTGGGGCTTGATCATGTGCTATTCGAGCAAATACTTAAGGCTTTGCTGATCGGTTCTTTCCTGAAATCTGCGACCCAACAAATAAGGACGCCACTTAAGCATTGCAAAAACGATGGCCATCAACTCTTCTCATAAATGGTTTTCGAGCTTGAACCCCCAAAATTTGACTATGACTTGCGATGGATCGCTTCTCTTGCATGAGGACAACCCCTAACCCACCCTTCGATGCATCCGTTTCAATCACAAATGGCTTATCATAATCTGGTAGGGCTAATACTAGGGCCTGCGTGAGTGCTGTCTTGAGGTTTTCAAGCCTTGGATGCTTCTTCATTCCATTCGAATTTGCTTTTCTTTAACAAATTTGTTAGCGATCTTGCAACCTGCCCGTATTGAGCTATAAACTTTCGGTAGTATCCCGATAACCCAAGAAATCCTCTAGCTGTGTCACGGTCTTGGGTTGAGGCCAACTAATCATTGCCTCAACCTTGCTTCCGTCCATTGCCACTCCCATCCCTGAAATCAAACGGCCCAAATATCCCAATTCTTTTCTCCCAAATTCACATTTCTTTTTATTTGCAAACAAACAGTACTGCAGTAACTTTTGAAATGGCCAATTTAGGTGGCCACAATGCACCTCCTCCAATCTACTGTGGACTAGAATGTCATCAAAAAACACCATAATGAATTTCCTCAAATAAGGCTTATAGATCTCGTTCCTCAGGGCCTGTAAAGTAGCGGGAATGACATTACTAAATTCTTAATGCCCTTTGTGTTGATCCCAGATCTCTCAATAACACTAATAATCTAGTTATGAATAACCAAATTATAGTGATTTTATGAAAGAAGTTATGAAGACTCGAGAAGAAAAATAAGAATATTTATGAACAATCTTGAGCTTCAAAAGTTTCACTTTATAAACTGAGAAACGTAAAAGCGATTCGTAAAAGCGACTCTTTTTACAATAGGTCTAATCACCTATTTATACTAATCAGCTAATAAGAAGATAACTATATAATGCTACTTTCTAGCAAATTTTCTATTAACAGATAAGGTTTATCTTTCATATGGATAAGCGCTAATATTGAGATAAACTCGAATTCCAGCTGTTGACTTGTCATCTCCAGCTGTCATTCATGATATGATGACTTCATCCTTATCTTCAAATCTTCATTGCATGCTTGGATGAATTGCTGAAAAATCTTCTAAGTGTTGATGACCAGAGGATCGATGAGAATGCTCTTTCCATCGCATCCTTGGACTGTCCATCGGTCCTCTGGTTGAATTTCAGACTTAGTCTTTATGCC